CCTGGAGGGGCTTGTAGTTCTCTTCCTTCCGCGAGGTCTGCGGAGACCGTCGCTGGGACTACGACTCCCAGCAGATCCGCACCCTCCCAGTCCTCAAAGGAAAAGTCTATCTCGAGGCTGTTCCCTTAGGGACATTCCCTGCGCCTGCTACCCTACGGCGAGTGCCCTGGGCTTAAATGAATTAAATAGGGTCTGATTGAGTGAGGGGGCAGCTGTCTCCGCCGAGCCCTTCACGGTGTCTGAGTTGCGTTCTTTCGCTTCAACCCTCGGGTGAGGTAGGTGGGCGTGATCGTCCCCATTTTAGGCACAAAGAGGAAACTGCCTTTTTGGGAGTGAACCAACTTTCTCCGAAGCGATATGCGTGATGGAATGGGCTGCTAACCTGCTTGCAGATGTCCGCAGCGGGCGGTTCTTTTCGCTCTGCTGCCACGGAGGGCTAGGGGCAGGGAGAACGAGAGGACCGAACATAGACCAGGAAGCTGTGAGGGAGGGGAGCGGGGTCAGCCTTTAGCCACAGCTACAAGCACGAGCGCCAGAGGGAGGTACCAAGAGCAACGGGAATAGGAATACAGTGGGGCCTTGACTTACGAGTGTCCCGACTAACGAGTTTTTTGAGATACCAGCTGTCTCTCGGCTGATTTTTTGCATTGAGTTGACAGAGTAATTTCAGTTAAAGAGCTCCTTAACGAGCTCGGTCTCGGAACGAATTAAACTCGTAAGTCAAGGCCCCACTGTATAGAGGAAGAAGAAAGATTACTGAGGTCATTTTAAATTGCTTATTTTGGCCTCTTCTATGGAATGTTCATCTTTCCCGTCACGCCGCTTGAGGTCTGGGAGATGCTGAGAAGGGCTCACCTGCCACTCATTGGCTCCCGAGCTTCTTGTGTCTGCCTTTGTACAATGGCACTATAATTTTGACCAAATACCTTTCAGCTCTTTCCCTATTCAGCTTTTTCGTTAACGAGGGTGTAATAATATTTACACCGTGGCTACAGTAACTTAATAAGTGGCTTTAGAGCGCTTTGAGGTTCATAAGATAAAAGATGTAAAACATCCAAAGTGGTACTTTCTTTCCTTTAAAGTGCCATTGCCATAATAAAATCCAAACGACCAAGGTACAAAAGAATCGCAGTGCCAGTTCCTGAAACATAAGATGCTATAATTTGGAGTTACAGTTTTTGCTAAGCAGTTGGGTGTTTCCTTTAATGGAGTCAGCAGGTTCTTTGAATCACATAAGGCCTGGGAAACAACCAGGTGTCCTGGATGAAGATTCATCACTCACCATCATCACTATTATTGTCCATGACAAGCATTCATTGGACATTTACTCTATATGCTAAGCATTATGCCAGGAGCTGAGGCAATAAGGAAGTATACAACATAATTATTCATTTAAAAAAAATCTGTCTAGGGGGTCAGGATCTATGCAAGAAAAGATAGCCATGATAAACAGCAACTTACTGCAGACAGCTGTTAAAGAATTTGGAGCCTGAGGAGCTCAATAACAGCAACAAGCAGCAGGTGAGACCAGCACTAGGCTTTGAGGAACAAAATAAGTAGAGAAAATGGTAGAGGATATTTTAAATCCATAGACCATTGGTTCTCAAATCTCCCTAAGAGTTTTGCAGCCTGCCAAGCACCAGGTGGGGACAATATATATTTCTGCCTCTAGCTGGTTTCGCTCAGTGGATAGAGTGTCGGCCTGTGGACTGAAGGGTCCCAGGTTCGATTCTGGTCAAGGGCACATGCCCAGGTTGCAGGCTCAATCCCCACTGGGGGACATGCAGGAGGCAGCCAATCAGTGATTCTCTCTCATCGTTGATGTTTCTATCTCTCTCTCCCTCTCCCTTCCTCTCTGAAATTAATAAAAAAAATTATTTTTAAATATATATTTCTGGATACTGCCCCAGAGATTGAATCAGCACATCTGTGTAGAGCCTAGATACCTACATATTTGAAAAATCTATTGATTGTGACATAGGGGACCATAATTTTGCTACTTAAAGTGTGATACAACCAGTGTATTAGTGTCCTTTGGGAGCTTATTAAATATAAAATTTCAGGCTCCATCTCAATTCTGCTGAATCAGAATCTACATTTTAGAAGATCCAATAATGATTTATGTATATGAAATTTGATAAGCAGTGAGTTTCATAAGACGATTCTTACTCAATTTAATTCAGTTTTGAGAAACACCACTTAAATGACAACTTTCAAGAGATGGAATTATATAGGGCAAGTATGAAAGACAAGAGAAATACAAGTTTTAATTCAATACCAGAGTCAACCAGCTGTCACTTTTATTTATATATATATATATTTTAGAGGCCTGGTGCACGAAATTCATGTACTTGGTGGGGGAGGTCCCTCAGCCTGGCCTGCTCCCTCTCACAGTTGGGGACCCCTCGGGGGATGTCCAACTGCTGGCTGAGCAGCACTCTCTCTGTGGGAGCCCACTGACCACCAGGGGCAGCTCCTGCATTGAGTGTCTGCCCCCTGGTGGTCAGTGTGTGTCATAGCTACCAGTCGTTCTGCCATTCAGTCAATTTGTATATTAGGGTTTTATTATATAGGATTGGTTAGCAATTGTATGGGAAAAAAATGTAATTTTTATTAATTAATTTTTTAATCCTCACTTGAGGATTAAATAAAACTATGTTTTTATTGAGCGAGAGAGAGAAATGGAAAGGGAGAGGGAAAGGGAGAGAGGGAGACACATGGGTTGCCTCCCACATGCACCTGCACACACCTGCAACCCAGCATGCGCCCTGACTGGGAATTGAACCGGTGACCTTTCAGTGCACAGGATGACACTTAACCAACTGAGCCAAACTGTTCAGGGCCAACTCTCACTTTTATCAGCAAGATCATGACAGAACAAATTGGTTACCAGAAACTTTGCCCATTGTCTTTGGCTTATTGCTTAGGAATTGAAAGGTATCCAAGGAGACCCAGAATTCATCAAATCCAAGAACAATGTTTGAGTGTGTCCAGAAGAGGGAGCATAATAGTTTTCCCAGTCAGGGAAAGTTCAGAAGCTTTCATTTCTGTTGGGATTTTCCCACGGTGTCCCGTATTTTTATTTGCTAAATCTGGCATCCTAACTGGTTATGAAAGAGAATCTCTCTCTTGGTTCTAATATACCTACTATTTTAGGGTCATGATATATCTTATCCTCAAGTGGTTCAGAAAAATGCTGTGTACATACACATATATACATAAATATGTATTATATAAATATACATGCATACATAGTTATATAAATAGCAAATAAAAATAGGAAATGCTAACAGTAGGTGAATCTGGGTAAAGGACAGATGGATATTGTTTATATTATTTTAATTTTTACAACTTCATTTGAAATTATTTCCAAATAAAAACATTTAAAAGAAAAACCTCACGTATTAAAAATATAGCCATTTCTTCATTTTTTTATTTTTTTTTAAAAAAACGAAGAGCCTCAAAGCTCTCATTCTGTCAGGGTAGCAAGAAATTTAATTTTCATCAATTTCAGGGGCTTACCTCTCCACCCAAGCTTTATATGGTACTAGAGAACCAGAAAGAAACACTAGTTCCTCAAGATTGCTGCTAACATCTGAACTGTTCAGAGTTACAGTGGTCTCTGGAAGTCTGACAGCTTTCTCCTTGCGTACAATTAATAAGCTATGGCCAGGACACCTGGGTGAGGCTGTGAACCCCAAAGCCTCTCTCTAGGGTTACCACATGTCCATCCCCTCCATAAACTCTTGTCAGTTTCTTGAAGTGGTGCCACTGAGCAGAGTTCAGGATCTCTCTTGCAACACCCTTCTATTTTAAGACTATACATCTTGAGGAAATGTATCATTCTGCTGTGTGATTGCTTTGAAAAGAGAAGTATTTTTTCTTTTTTGTTGCTCACAAGGGTGCTTGTCATAAACTCTAGTGAACACTGTATAAATGAAAAAGAGGGCGTTGCTGGAGTGGCTTTGGGTGAGCAGCCTTGCCCTGTGCACTGAAAAGTTGCTGGTTCCATTCCTGGTCAGGGCACATAACCAGTTTGCGGGTTCCATACCCAGTCAGGGAAACGTTCAATCTCTCAATCTCTCTCTCTCCCTCCCTCCCTTCCTCCCTTCTTCCCTTCCTGTCTCTAAGCATGCCTTGGGTGAGGACTGAAAGAAAGGAGAGAGAGAGAGAGAGAGAGAGAGAGAGAGAGAGAGAGAGAAGGAAGGAAAGTGCTGATTAATTATTTAAAAAGAAATAAAAATAGGAAAGGAAGTAAGTACTAAAAAAAATGGAAAGGAAGTAAGTACTATCTTGCAAGCAATTTTCTACTTTCAGCATCCTATATAATAAAAGCCTAGGTGGTGTCACGTGACATTGTCACAAGATGGCCACCACAAGATGGCCACTACAAGATGGCCAACAGGGGAGGGCAGTTGGGGGTGACCAGGCCTGCAGGGGAGGACTTTAAACAATAATAAAAAAAATGGTATGCCAAAAATTAATAAAACCCACATAAAAAAAAAAGTCATTATCTTTGTTTAAGGGGGGAAGGATGCAGAGCCCGCCTGGAATTAGAGTGAGGCAAGGCAAAGAACCTAGG